CTCAACCCCATTAGTTCCGGTTCGTGCCACAAACCGGGACTAAAAGGGAGGAGCTTTAGTCGCGGTTGGCCTGGCCAACCGCGACTAAAGGCCTTTGGGCACCTTTAGTCCCGGTTGGCCTGGTCAACCGCGACTAAAGCCCGCGAGCGCCCTGGGCCCAGGCATTTGGTCGCGGTTCATCTGCCGAACCGCGACTAAAGACTTCATTAGTCGCGGTTCCTACAGTTTCGCGACTAATGGGGCTGGACGGAAGCCTCTTTTTCTATCAGTGCCTGTTCCCCGGCGCCGGGCTTCTCGGCGCCGGGTGATGGCAAGGGCGCTGCCGCTGTTGGGGTTTTTTTAGGCTGATCGCGTCGGAACAAACTGGTCCCACATGCCAGTGGTCGATGGGGGTTTAGGACGATTTGGCTGGGACCTGCGCCGCCACATGTGCACTGCTGCCCACTTCAAGCAAGTCCATCCAATGTGTCTCAAAAACAAAAACAAAAAACAAGTCCACTCAAAATAGAATCCTTTTGTCCCAAAATAGAATCCTTAGAAAACAACTTCTTTGTCTTTTATATCTCTTAGAAAAAGCATACAAGCAAACACCACATGCCTTTCCAGAAAATTATCTAATGATCGAGCAAATGTCTTCTCGATCCATATATATAGGAGTATCTAGCAAATCCGCACTGTAGCATCCGGAGATCTCGTGCGACCGGTCCACCTAATTTCGAAATTTATATCCATGCTAAAAGTTCACAAAAGAAATCTGAAAGTAACTAAACACATAGACATAGCATAATCTCTAACTAGTCACAAAGTTTCAAATCTAGCTTCAATTAACAAGTTCAAATGTGATTGAACATGCACAATTCATATCCCGGTTTGAATTAACTACTATTTGTAGTGATTTGTCTTTTTGGTTTCTCTGGTTGCGAGTTGAATTTGTAACTGAAATCTAAGGACGCATATTGTATCCGTGTAACCAGTTATTTTCAGGATTTTTAATACCTTTTTGTGTTGGTTTTTAACTTTGGGTACACGAAATAGGTGTACGGAGACTTCTCATTTTTTTGAACTTGGGATCTTCTCTTTGGTAATAGCAGTAGCAGGGATTTCACTTGAACTAACCAAGTTTTCAAATATAATTCTTCTTTTTTTTGCCAAAAAAGATCTTCATTACTCCCTCTTCATTCTAAAACTGACTCCTAATGCACATCCATGTTAAGCCACATCATCTAAAAAAACATTGGATAATGTTCACAATCAATCAAGTACGCTAGATCTTGAAGTTGGGGAAGTAGTGGCTGCACCCACGGTGCACCCACGCAAGAAAACGTAGCAAAATATTTCAAAATCTGCTCAAATAGGGCACGTACATTTTGAGTAATTTTCAGTGATTTTGTCTTTTTCATAGAGAGCTCCTCGGATGTTATTTGACCACCAAACTTTGCAAGCACCCATAACATTTATTGATGATCAGTCCCACAAAGTTTCAGAATTTTTTGAAATGTTTTCTATATTTTCTTGCATGGGTGCACTGTGGGTGCACCGAGCTGGGGTGTAGAAAAACCACTCTCCTGTTTAAAATCACATCCCTTGGTAATGACATGTCCCTTGGAACAAAAATGTCTCTTAAACTTTTCTTTTTATCAAAAGAGAGGCTCCACTCTCCTATTTTCATTATAGAAAGTCAAATGTCTTGACAGTTCACTACCAGCAAAAACTAAAAACTACTACAACCCTTACAAACCAGGGGAAACTACGAGCCCAACCAGCCATCAAAGTTACTGATCATGCAAGATCAAGCGAGCCTAGAAGGCCGGAGAAGCTGAAACTCTTCGGGCACAAAATAAGCCAGGAAGTTTAGTGATGAAAAGATATGCCCCTTAGTGCAAATATGTCTCTTCACGGAAAGACACATCGCGAAAGGATGACTTTTCATGAAAATACATATTTTAAGAAATGAATAATTTTTTGACGGACACATTTACAAAATTCAGTTGATCATTGAAATTACCTTAACTATGCTAGAAAACTAATATTCCAAATTTGGCATTCAATTAACTTATGCACTTCAACAATATTTGAGCTTATACTTTCAAAAAGGGAAATTTATATATAAATACTTGAAACAAGCTCATTAAAACTATCTAATAATAACCGCAAACCTGCTTTAAAATTCGCTCTCATATTTTTTCAATGGAATGCACACACACAATACACAGCATCCATACTCCCTCGCCATGGTGTGGTGGCCAACTGACCATGCACGTAATTTATTTCAGGTTCAGAGATGTGCGGAGGACATGTCGATCCTGATCACCACCTACGAGGGCTCGCACAACCACCCGCTCTCCGCCTCTGCAACCGCCATGGCATCCACCACCTCTGCCGCCGCGTCCATGCTTATGTCAGGCTCCTCCACCTCGCTGGGCTTCCCCTCTGCCGCCTCCAACCTCCACGGCCTCAGGTTCGGCCTCCCAGCGGCGACCACCGTCGATCCCTTGAGCCAGCTGAGCGCCCGGCCGTTCTTCCTCCCGGCAGCTGCCGGCACGTCCATCAGCGTCACCCCGTCGTACCCCACCATCACCCTCGACCTCACGTCGCAGGCCGCCTCGCAGCAGGCCTTCTCCCTCAGCAACACCAACAGGTTCTCCTCCAGCTTCACGGGCTCTTACGGCCATAGCAGCAGCACTGGTACTAGGTACCCTTCCACGAGCTTCTCCTTCTCCGGCTCCGGCGCGAGCAGCCTGCCCGGCGCCACCGCGTGGCCGGTCGGAGTTGGACCGTACCTGAGCTACGGATCCTCGCCCAGCGCACCCTACAACGACGCCGGCAAGAGCTCGTTCGAGGCCGCGCTGAGCAGCATCAATGGAAGGCAACAAGGCTCAGCGGCATTCCTCTACCAGCCGGTGCAGCAGAGGGCGGCTCACGTGAGCGGCGGCAGCACGGCACCGACCGTGCTCACCGACACGATCGCCAAGGCGATCACGTCGGACCCGGGCTTCCACACGGCGCTCGCGGCCGCCATCACGTCGTACGTCGGCAAGCCGGCTGCAGGATGTGGCAAGGGGCTCGAGTGGGGTGAGCACCTCGGGCTGGGGCCGTCCAGTGCGGCAGCCGCGGTGTGCTCGTCGGCAGTGCTGGCACGATCGTCATCAACGGGGGCCGCACAGAACGGTTCCCCGAACGACAGGATGACGTTGCAGGCGTCGCTGGCGCTGTCGGGCTCCACCAGTGCTACTGCTTCGACGTTGTGAAGAACAGGGAGCACATTAATTTCTTAGCAGAAGGTTTCTGAGTTGTGTTCATGGATTGATTTGAACATTTCGTGTAGATATAATACTGACTATAGAATAATTTCTGAAAATGTGTTGATCGATTCACCATTCACAACCAAAACACATGCCAAGAGTTTTTGCCTGCGACAAGTTATTTGCAAGTTGCCTGGAAAAAGAAAACCTTTGCAGTGATCATAACTGCAGCGGAAAACAAAGTAATCTTAGGCTCCGTTTGATTCATGTTGTGGACCTGAGTTATGCTGTCAAAACTTCACGGCAGCGACTTTGGGCTTATAGCTCCTGTGCCACACGTTTGAGGTGAATCGGCAAGGGTGTGATGTTGTTCGAGCGAATGACTGTGGTGCGACAATTTTGAGCAGGTAAATAGCCCACGCACGACATGGCTGTTAAACTCAACTGATGCCCTCGTTAGCTGTTGGGGGCTGGACCCACCACTTATCCACGTAAGCGCGTTCTTTCGCGGGACCCACCACTTGTTCTTTCGCGGGTGAGGGAGTCCTGAATAAGGGGGTATCCGGATAGCCGGGCTATATGCTTTGGCCAGACTGTTGGACTATGAAGATACAAGATTGAAGACTTCGTCCCGTGTCCGGATGGGATTCTCCTTTGCGTGGAAGGCAAGCTTGGCGATTCGGATGATAGATCTCCTTCTCTGTAACTGACTTTGTGTAACCCTAGCCCCCTCCGGTGTCTATATAAACCGGAGGGTTTAGTCCGTAGAACAACAATCATAATCATAGGCTAGCTTCTAGGGTTTAGCCTCTACGATCTCTTGGTAGATCAACTCTTGTAATACTCATATCATCAAGATCAATCAAGCAGGAAGTAGGGTATTACCTCCATCGAGAGGGCCCGAACCTGGGTAAACATCGTGTCCCCAGCCTCTTGTTACCATTAGTCTTAGACGCACAGTTCGGGACCCCCTACCCGAGATCCGCCGGTTTTGACACCGACGTAGGTGCTTTCATTGAGAGTTCCTCTGTGTCGTCGCTGTAAGGCTCGATGGCCCCTTCAATCTTCAACAACGCAGTCCAGGGTGAGACTTTTCTCCCCGGACAGATCTTCGTGTTCGGCGGCTTCGCACTGCGGGCCAATTCGCTTGGCCATCTGGAGCAGATCAACAGTTACGCCCCTGGCCATCATGTCAGGTTCGGAAACCTGAACTACACGGCCGATATCCGCGGAGACTTGATCTTCGATGAATTCGGGCCTGCATCAGGAGCGCCGAACAGTCACGACGAGCACGACTTAAATCTGTTGTCGGACAGTATTCGGGATATCGCCCCTGCAGCTGCTCCGGACCTAAATCCGGGGCAGACCGCGTCGTTCGACGACGAGTGGATGGACCCCACCATGGAAGCAGCATACTCTTCGGCGGTAGAGCCGAACACAGATTCCGCCCTTAAGGGAATCAGCGTCACCGGACCCCGGACTTGTGTACGGACGTGGGTTCCGAACCGCGCGCGCTCGGGCCCATCGAGTCCGATTGGGCCCCAATAATGGATTTCACCGCCGCGGATATCTTTCAGCACTCCCCCTTTGGCAATGTGCTAAATTCATTAAGGTCTCTCTCTCTGTCAGAAGATTCCTGACCGAACTATGTCCGGCTCGAGTGGGAAGCAGGCGATGAAGAAATTCGTTACCCACCCACCACCCACTTCATAGCCACGGTCGATGATTTGACCGATGTGCTTGATTTCGACTCTGAAGACATCAACGGTATAGACGACGATGCAGGAGAAGAACAGGAACCACCGCCCACAAGGCGCTCGACTGCCACCTCTTCATATGATATATATATATATATGTATATATATATATATGTATATATATATGGTGGGCACCACCAAAGAAAACAATGGCGATGAGGCAACAGAAGATAACCCCTCAGGGAAGAAATCAAAGCATGGGCGTCATCGGCGCCGCTCTAAGCCCCACCACACAATACCGGCACAGGAGAAGAAAACAATCCAGATGGTGCCGAAGAGGAATACAATCCTGATCAGCCTACCTTCGAGCAGGCCGAACAGGAACACGGGCAGGTCAGCCCAGATGAACAGGCGACGGACGAATACTTGGAGGACAACAACTATATGCCTCCCTTTGAAGATGAGGTGAGCCTCGGCGATGATGAATTCGGCGTACCGGAGGATCCCATAGAGCAGGAGCGCTTTAAGCGCCGACTTATAGCCACTGCAAGAAGCCTGAGAAAGAAGCAGCATCAGCTCCAAGTTGATCAAGATCTACTCACAGACAGATGGACCGAGGTCCTGGCGGCCGAGGAATACGGACTCGAGCGCCCACCAAAGGTTACCCAAAGCACAAGTTGGTACCTCAACTAGAGGAGGAGGCCGTAGAGCCTTCACTACCAGCACAAGACGAGGCTGACCGGCCACCTCGTGGCCGGGATAAAACGGCGTATCAGACCGAATACCAGCCCGCACCCCCACGCCAGTTTACTACGGCCCGGGGTAATACGCAGGACCTAAGAAATCTATTGGAAAACAAAGCAGGATAGCTAAGATCGATCTATGGATCACCGGGGCGCGCCCCAACACTTGACGACGACCATCATGCCGGATACACTAACAAAAAGTCCGGTCGGGCCGAACATAACCAGCCAGACATAGTCGCACTGCATAGCGATATAGCCCGGCACAGAGGCGCCGCACACCCCCTTTGCTTCACTGATGAAGTAATGGATCACGAATTCCCATAAGGGTTTAAACCCGTAAACATCGAGTCATACGATGGCACAACAGACCCCGTGGTGTGGATCGAAGACTTTCTTCTCCACATTCACATGGCCCGCGGTGATGACCTACACGCCATCAAGTATCTTCCCCTTAAACTCAAAGGACCAGCCAGACATTGGCTGAATAGCCTGCCGGCGAACTCCATCGGCAGTTGGGAAAATCTTGAGGACGCATTCCTCGACAACTTCCAAGGCACTTACGTGCGACCACCGGATGCTGATGACTTAAGTCATATTACCCAACAGCCCGGAGAGTCAGCCAAGAAATTCTGGACTCGGTTCCTAACTAAAAAGAACCAAATTGTCGACTGTCCGGACGCCAAGGCCCTGGTGGACTTTAAGCATAATATCCGCGACGAGTGGCTCGCACGACACCTCTGCCAAGAAAAACCGAAGTCCATGGCGGCCCTCACGACACTCATGACCCACTTTCGCGCGGGCGAGGACAGTTGGATGGCTCGCAGTAGCACCACGCCAAGAAACTCCGGCACTTCAGATGTCCGCGACAGTAACGGAAAGCCACGGCGCAATAGACATAAGCGTCGGAATAATGGTGACAACGCCGAAGATACGACAGTCAATGCCGGATTCAGCAACTCAAAATCCGGTCAGCGGAAAAAGCTGTTCAAAAGAAACAATCTGGGATCATCCAATCTTGACCGCATACTTGACCGCTCGTGCCAGATTCACGGCACCCCTGACAAACCAGCAAATCACACTAACAGAGATTGTTGGGTGTTCAAACAGGCCGGCAAGTTGAATGCCGAAAACAAGGACAAGGGGCTGCACAGCGATGATGACGAGGAGCCCCGGCGTCCGAACACTGGGGGACAGAAGAAATTTCCCCCCAGGTGAAAACGGTAAACATGATCTATGCCACCCACATTCCCAAACGGGAATGAAAGCATGAACTGAGGGACGTCTATGCGATGGAGCCAGTCGTCCCAAAGTTCAACCCATGGTCATCCTATCCGACCACCTTCGATCGTAGGGACCATCCTACCAGCATCCGTTACGGCGGCTCAACCGCATTGGTCCATGATCCAATCATCGACAGATTCCACCTCACGCGAGTCCTTATGGACGGTGGCAGCAGCCTGAACCTGCTTTACCAGGGCACGGTGCGCAAAATGGGCATCGATCCCTCACGGATCAAACCCACCAAAACCACCTTTAAAGGTGTAATTCCAGTACGGGCTCAATAACACTGGAAGTGGTCTTCGGATCTCCGTATAACTTCCGAAGCGAGGAGTTAATCTTAGATCGTACCTTTCCGTAGTGGCTATCATGCACTACTTGGACGAACCGCGTTCGCTCGATTCAATGCGGTACCCCACTATGCATACCTTATGCTCAAGATGCCAGGACCTTGCGGGGTTATAACAGTCAATGGAAACACAGACCGCTCCCTCCGTACGGAAGAGCACATTGCGGCCCTCACGGTAGAAGTACAAAGAAGCCTTCTTCGACAGATAGCCAATTCGGCAATGACAACCCCGAACACCGTCAAGCGAGTCCGGAGCACACTACAACAGGATCGTCAGGCACGCCATGAGCTTGATTAGCAATCCGGCCTCCGCCGCAGCCCCAGTCAGGCGGCATTTGTGCCACGCGTACATAACTACGCACTCAAAATACCATGGGCGTAGGTGAAGGCGAGACGACGATGCGGCCGACAGTATGGTTCAGCCGCCACGAGGCCCGCATACCCTTTTTCTTTCTTTCTTTCAGGACCCTACTTTCGGGCAGCCCCTTCAGAGAACCGGACTATCAGACTCATCACAGGAGGGAACACCAAGGAGGCAAGAGGCTTTGCACACAAAGGAATACCCAGGTGGTCTATGTTAATGATCGTTATACCTGTTTTACATACCCGCATGCAGCCTACCTTTGGATAGGACATGTTAAATAGTCCTATTTGTTTCTGCTTCACTCATTAATTGTACACATACGCCTTGACATATTATCCAAATAACAACGGGAAATAGTATACAGCATCAGCTTCTTATTACTATCTTCATATTTTCCCTTAAATGTTTATTTAATATTGCATCCGTACACTTTGGTATGTTCAGTTTGCCAGAGGCTTCTTATTGTGCCCCATAATACGGCAAGATAAGTCTGAATACTTTCGACAGTACGGCACCCCGAACTTATAGCATTATATGCATCATCTCTGAATCATGTCTTGGGCCAATAGTTG